ACTGGCTAATACATATATCAGAACTCTAGACCGGTCCAACAACTTAAGCAATAAGAAATTTTGAGAACAAACTTACCAGTGAATAAATCTGACTAGCACTCAATCAAAATTTTATAACAAACACTCATTATTCTAAAAAAAAATGCTACTTATGAAGGAATAAAATACCATCCCAGCGCTAGCAATTCTCTTTAACTAAATGCTTATCAAAAGGCTGTAAATTTATTGAGCAGCACTGAAAGGCAGATTTACTCTTTTCAATGTCAATATAAAGAGAATTAATAATTGATTAATTTCAATAAAAAGAAAGCAATGCATCACATTAGAAATTGAACAATTATTATTCATTCTGTCTTAGAATGGAAAAATGCTAAAAATGAAGATTATTTAGATGAAAAAATATACTTACGAAAAAAGCAAACAAACTTTGAAACAGTTTTAAGATTTCAATCTGAAGAAAGGATAAACCAGGATTCGTTATTATTAAAATTTTGTTAATAATTATGTGAATCTGTAAGTATGTGTATAATCTGTAATGTGTTATGTGTGTAGTCTGTAATCAATAAAGCATTAAAAATAGTGTAATGAGAGGAAAACTCCAGATCTTTATTCCAACTAGGGACATCAGATGCACATCGCAGATTACAGGAACTTTTAAAATATAAAAGACTGGAATGAAAAATGAACGAAAAAATAACAGTTGATTTCCATTGAATTAATAAGTTTGCTGGGGGAAGGTATAAAGAGTTAACTACATTTCCTTTGTTAAAAAAAAAAAAAATCTAACCTAAATCCATGTACGACATGCACATTTTCCTATTTGAAAACTTCCAGGAAGATTCAAGATGGTGACAGTGACATTCATACTCTCTAAAGGTTAGAATTTTTTACACACACACACACACAATATTTGACTTCAGTTCCTCAAATTGTTTTTTAAAAAAACAAAGAATTTAAGTCTTTTGAATAAACTTATATACATTCTTACATGAAAAAACAACAGTTTTACATAAACATGAGGGGGGGGAGGAAACATTCCACAAACAAAACAAAAAAACAAAAAAAATTTCAAGAATTGGACATGCCAAATGTTAGCCTAAAAAGGTGCATAAATTAGCAACAGAAACTGGCATAAAGTAGGTAAACATGCACTCCATATATCTGAAGGTCAAAGTGTATATATACCCTTGAAATGCAAGTAGAAAAATAGTTGAAAAATAGTGTTCAGGATGTGTATAAAGAACCTTACTTCAAAACTGCCTATGAGCAAAACCAGTGATCAGAAAATTGTGAAATTTTACAGTGAACTCAATGAAGGGATGAGAATTTCCCCCAGGAAAAAAAAATAGTTACAAATAACGTCACCAGAGGGCATTTTACTTTGGAAACTTGTAGTAAAAAAGGAAAATTTTCGTCGGCATCATGCAGCAGCTGTTATAAAACCTAGAAGCATTCATAGACACTTTGTTTTCAATGTGCATATTGTTCCCAATGACGATAAGTTTACGAGATTGCGATTTCTTAGCAGAATTGTTCCACCAAAACAGTAACCACACAGTAGTTGCTTTATGGAAATTTTGGACTTTGAAGGGGATTCTAAGAGGTCCAATGAATGTTAAAAACCTTTAGGAAATGATAACAATATTTGAAGAAACAGGATCATTTTCTGTTTGTTCTGGAAGAGGAAGAAAACTTCTTTCTGCAGAAGCAGTACAGGAGGTTGCGCTTCAAGTCATAGAGGACCTTTCAGGGCTAGCACCAGTATTCAGCATATAGCAGATGTGCTGGATAGACCATGTTCAACTGTCCATAAGATTTTGCAGAATATCCTCTGATATTACCCTAACAAACTTTCATTCAGTGCAGTGGTTGCTTTTGCATGACTCTGACGCTCGACTCCAGTTCTCACTTCAGTTTCTTGCTCATTTTAAGGTCGATTCAGAATGATCTTGGAATATCCTCCAGATAGAAAGCACATTTGGACAGTGAATAACCACAACTATCAAACATGGGCATCAAAAAATCTGCACTCTGTCTTAGAGGTTCCACTGCATTCATCAAAGTGACAGTATGATTAGGATTTCCTGCATCATTTATTCATCTTTATGCAAATTAGAGCTTTCCACATATTGCACGTGGTGTCAAGAATGTCCTTAAATATCATTTTCTAGAAGAATGTGTCATTAGCCAGCACTTTCGTAATATGTGTGCTCCCTGATCCCCAGATTTCAGTCCATGGAGGTAGGAAATAAGATGGAGTCGCCCTAAACAAGTTTCTCCGTACCCTGCTCTGAAGCACCGGCAATCCCTACGTGGTGACCAAAACATTGGGTCATTTACCATTGAGTTCTATGGGATTTGACGTGTTCGGGTGTAAATATTTTGTAATTACGTTGCAAATATACATATAAATGTATATATTTTCTTTTTCTACAACACTTCAGAGTCCTAAGTATGTGAAAACAACATATTTTTAAACAACATTTCATTCTGAACGGAATTAAATGCTATACTTTTCACAGGACAGTTTTCTCAGAATGGTTTAATTTGAATGAAATATTTTCACAAGTTTTCGTTAATTACATTAGAAAAAAAAAATTAAGGTAATTCGATTTTATTCGGTTAAGGTACAAAAATTAAGATCAAAGTTTATTGTATTATTAATATTAAAATTATGCATTATTTCTTTTTCTATTTATAGAGCTTCTTCCTAAAATACTTTCTTAAATATGACATGATTTTTTGGCTTCTTTTAAATCGAAAAAAATGTAAGTCAATTTATAATTAATGCTCTATTCGGTTCATTTTAAATTAGAGAATTATTAGGAATTAGCAAAATACTTTAAATAAGTATTTCGCTAATTCCTAATAATTAAATAGGTATTAAATAGTATTTGACTTTCTCTGAACATTTATGAAGGGAATAAAATAAGTTTTTTTTTTTTTTCAAGTATTATTTAAAACTTGTAACTGAGTTATTATAAAATGTAAAGGGAATAATTCTTTTAATTATACTTATCAGATTTTTTTTTTTACCCTTCATTTCAACAATACATATTCCAAAACTCTTTATTACGTTCTTAAGTGCGCATCTCATAGCATTTGCTTTACAATACCTTTTAACAGATTGCTTTCCAATACGAACAATTCTTGCTTAAATAGTTTTATAACGTATTTGTCAACAGGATTTCAATTTATGTTTACAATTCAATATTAAGGTTATTATATATTTAGATAACATTTATAATCATTATAAATTAGATACATTTAATCATTAGATTTCTTCACAGTACTTTCACAGTTGTTTATAAGTGAATAAATTCTTCATTTCAAATACATTTATAAATAATTTAATGAATATTTAAGTATTTTGTCAAAGGCAGATACATGCTTTTTGCAAGCACATGCATAAATATACATATTTCCTATTTATCATTTCCGGCATGTGCAAATCTTTAATTTCTGTGCATTCACTATATTTTTCGTGTAAAGTAATTTACACTAATTTAGCATACACCCGAAAGTTTTACATAAAAAATATATATGAATATAATTTGAATGAAAATTATAAGTATTATTTAAAAACCATCTCAAAGGTCAGTTTTTCTTCAAAATTCCTCCACGATGGCATCTCTCTCTTTAGGCAGATAGCCCTTGCATGCGTTACTCTATTTAATAAAAACTTAATCTGCCTATGTGCCTAATTACAAATATTTTAACATGCATAATTTTATATTTACATTTAGCCATCAAGTTTCAAACTTTTCAAATCTTCTAGAAAATAAATTTTGGCAGATCGCTTTTAGCAATTTTCTTAAAATCTATATTTTTGTAGTGCAACAGCTTAGAATTTTATAAAACAAATTCATAATCAAAATCGCTGTTGTTAGTTATCGAAAAATAACCAAGATGTTATTTTTGCGTAAATGTCAGTAAACTACAAATTGCTATTATCCATCACACTATGAATGTTTCTTTCATGCGAGAGTGTCCCTTTTTCGATTTCTATGGAACTGTCGTGTATCGAAATACTATCAGAATCTTGTCAAGCGAGCTTCTGAATGTAAACAAAGAACACCTCGTCTGGTGACCCAAGCTTCAAAGCAGTGCTTCACTTCTAGCGCGGAATGTCCCCTCCTCCCTTTCCTACCTCCATGTTTCAGTCCATGCGTTTTTTGGATTTGGGGACATTTGAAACATCTGGTAAATTGTGACAATCCAAGAGCTTTATCTGATCTTAAAGCCAGTAATTCAGGCTACATACTGAACATTTCCCAGCACACACTCCAGTCAATTGTGGAACATGCATCTTGTGAAAATGATGGCCATCATGTGGAACATGTTTCTTTGTGACAAAAAAAAATTGTGTAAAATCGTTAAACCATTGTAAAAGTGTGCCTAAATGTATAATTTCTTAGCATTATGTTCTTTGGTGATGCTATTTGTAGCTATTTTTTCTTTTGCTGAAAGAAATTCTCATCCCTTCATTAAGTCTCCTACAACATCTGACAATTTTCTGATCAATGATTTCACTTGTAGGCAGCTTTGAAATATGGTTTTTTAATTGTAAACGCCCTATATTTAGATGTGAGTACAGAAGATTTAACCACAAAATCCAGAACTCTGGAGGGTACAGAAGAACCATCCAAAACTCTGACCATATGCAAGGAAGGCTCCTAATACCATCTATTCTTGGAAAAGCAAATATGAAGCAACTGAAGAATCAATTTCATTAAACGCTAATGGTAAATTATTGTTGCTAGTTTTAGCAGCACTTACGGTTAATCAATGATATGTACAACATATGCACTGCCAGTATTTTCTCAAAAACACAAGGTACAGCTAGTTTTATAAATATTTATCGAAAATTTTTAGAATTTAGTTATATATTATTCATTAAAGGAATAAAAATCTATGAATGTGATGCTAACTAAACAAAATTTATGTTTAGAATAATATTCAACAATAGAATTATTATTAGTAAATTAACAAAAACATACATGCTACTTCATCAAGAGCAGTAACTATTAAAGCAGTTGCTCCTCTTTGTTTCATAATAAGCCGCACATCAACAACTTTCTCCTGCCATGACCTTCCTGCAATGAAATCAATTTACGTTAGGAAAAAAATAAATATAAAATATCTACAACTTATTTGACAAAAGATGCATACCATGATCAAACTAACTACTAGGGCATAACTACCTACTAGGGCATACCAAGATCCTACAAAAGGCCATGAGTATTCATTAGAAATATATAATAGGCACAACTACAAAATAGACATACAAGAGAACTGAGTGAGACTGAAATCAACGTGATTATTGCTGCCACTAATCTGGTCCTTTCATTCATAAGACTGCTGGCAAGTTCCAGATACCATGTGTATCAGTGAGTGAAGCAGTATTGATATGGAGACATGAGTCAGTTTTGAACCAACCAGAGAAACTGCAAGAACAGACGGCTACAGAACACACTAATGAATAGTCATGATTACAGAGGTAAGAACAACGAGGCCTATATATATGTATGTCACATGTTTGACTCTAGAACAATGGAAAAGCATCCCCGAACAGCACAGAATGCCGCTGCAACATTGCAAACATGTCGCAGTAACATTGTAGGAATGGTTTAAGCCCGCTTTTTGCGACATCACATTGCGGCGTTGATGTGAAGTCAGATTGGGACTTTGATGTGAAGTCACGCTGTGACTTTGTTGTGAAGTTACACTGTAATACTGTTGTGAAGTCATAGTGCAACATTCATGTAACAACTCATGTCGACTTAATATAAAGCCATAGAGTGACATGAATGCAGCATAATAAAGTGCCATAAATATAATGTCACTAAAGATGTAAATGGATGTCACGTAACACTAGATTACTTTCTACATGATTAGAGTGATGAACTCCTATTTTAGAGAACAGGTAACTACAACAATGTTTTAACGATCCAGCAAGGTATTATACTTTTCAAGGTATAAAACTACTACCGTAATATTCAAAATTTTTAAATAATTGAAAATATCCAATATAATTATTTAAAATTTCCTTATCTTACTGAGGTTGTATCTCACCCTATTAAGGTTATATAACTGTAATCGATTTATGTTTATTACATATAAACTAGAGTGTACAGAAAATGCAGAACGTATTATAATATATATGATGCAAAAGTGATCTATGGTCATTTTCTAACCGTATTAAATTACTAATACTTTTGAGTATAAGCTGTCCAGAAGCTACATAATTTTGCTTTTATTCTTTAGAATTTAATATTTAAAGACAGCTCATATTTTTCCAAAATTTCTAAATTGTATTAAATATCCGAGTTCTTTTTATAACCACCACAATGTCGCGTGTGCGCAGTCAAAAAAGTGCGAAGTTAAACGTGTTTCATGTGTAGCTTCTGTCGTGTTCCTCTTCATAGAGGAAAATGCTTTGAACGGTACCATACTGTAAAGAACTATTAACATGTTATCAGTTCTATTTATTTATCTATTTATTTATAAAAATATTTTTGAATACATTGTAAAATTTTTAAAATCATTTAGTTTTGCGATTTCGTAAAAATATCATTCTTTTTTTTTTGTCAAATAATCATACAGTACATATTTAAGTGTAAAATTAAAAAAAGTTTCGTTCATAAAACAAAGTAGTTTTTTATTTACTGCGATTTTCCTGAATAACCATACTTCCGCACAATTCACGAAAAAAATGTCTGCTGCATGCGTAAGTTCGTGGCAAAGTATAACCGCATGCCAAGTGTTAATATTTTTAATAAAAAAGGAATAACTAAAATTGCAAGCGTAAAAGAATCATTTATTTAGGAAGTTTTACTGAAACACATAGCAATGAATCGGGGGAGGGAGGTCAGCACAAAAGAATTACTTGAGCAAGGTCAAGAAAGGTCAGCATGGGGAAGACTGCAAATTTCTTGTTGCATTAAATGTTTGCTGCGACGTGCAAGCGACATCCGTACAACATTCACATCTACATCACAATGCCACATTTCTGTGATGTTGTACCGTGGTCATAAATGAAATGCGAAGAAAATTGAACATTGAGAGGTCACTGCAACGTCATAGTAACTAAGTGTGCTGTATGGGTCATGTGGAATGATACATGTTATCTAATTTCAGTGTCACAACAGCCACCTCCTGTTGTAGGATTTAATTTCACATATATCTTAATCTAGTAAGTGTTAAATAATCATTACCTACTCGAATTCATCATTCCGACTGTTAAATTTCATACAGATGGAATTAAGGTATGAACCTGTTCTGCTTGATTTAGTTTTCATGTGAGGTTAAACTGCATTAAATCTAACCTTGATTATTATGAAATACTGGATATAATGTTCAAACTTTTTGTCCAGACCACGTTTTTATACATTAAATTATACTTTATATAATTATAGAAAATTTCCAAATGCATGAAAATCAGATATAAGAAACTTCATATATAGCTTGCACTGAAACTATTTTTTTTTTTTTTTTTTTTTTTTTTTTTAATTTTTCTTCATAATTTCTGGAAGTTTTAGCTAAAATTTGATTAAACATGTTCAATCAAATGAATTACCAGAATTGCATTCATGTTAGGTTCACTGAAAAAAACTTTTATGTTACTATTCTTTGATCTTTGATTTCCTGTGTTTTTAATAATAGTTATGTGAGGCAGGTTTAACAGATAGTTCTTGATAAACAAGAGCATACAACTAATCATATTATCTTAAGACGCCATACAGTACTCATGCCCAATGAACCAAATGATGTGATGGGTTTTTCTGATTCCAATTAAATTCTTTAATTGAGCTATTAGACAGAACTCTATTGAAAGCTGAAGTTATGATGTTAATTTTCGAATTTTCACTATTGAAGGAAAATGAAGCGGTGAATAGATTTCTATATACTTGGAAATATGCAGGTGATTCCTCTTTTATAGAACGAGATTCTTTTTCCTTTATTGTTTTCTTTTGTTTCAATTTCTAAAATGCTGCCCAAATAACATCCAAATTGTCCTCTGAATAGGAGTTTGCATATTTTCTTTCTTATGGACTTTTGCTTTGCAACTATACACATCTTGAGCAAAATAAATGCTATGTAACTGGAAAATGGATTTAATAGAAGTGCGATGAAAGAACTTTTCACTTCTCTACAAGAGCACAACTCTACATATTCTTTTCCCTAATTATCTTCATTCTGTACTCGGGAAATATTTAACATAAAAAATTCATCCATATGCCAAGCTGTACATGTATATTGTTCTGTACTGAAAATAAAATAAGTATTGGTCAAAAATTTCTGAGTGGATTAAATCAAATCAATGTCTGGTGGTGGTGTCTGGTGTCCCAATTTACATATGGTGCCTTGCAAAAAAATTGAAATTCAATAATTTTTATTTATTGGGAAAAAATTGTATACAAGGAAAAGGTTGAAAAAAGGTCAGGCATAAGATAGTGTTGAAGAGCTGCTAAAATGGTTCAACACTGAAAAAAGATGCAATCTGCCAATATTTTAGTAAATGCTTCTGATGGAGGTCAATGGATTTGTCACACACTTTGGAGGGCCTGCCTTTAAATGTTTCAAATGCCTGATTTTGTAGGTTTAAAAGGTAGAACAATATTTCTTGAGGAAAAATCTGTTGCAGAATCAGAATGTTGGAGAAAATATTTGAAATTATGTCTCTCACTAGTGTACAGAAAGATATTTTCAACAGCAATGAAACTGTTCAATTTTACAAGCTGCTATCAAATTGAATGCTAAAATTTAATGACCGAAAATAAATTGGCTGAAAACTGTCATATTGCTGATCATAGTTGAGCGTGCCAATATGAATGGTATTCAGCATTGCAGAATTTTGGTGACTAGAAAGCCTCAAAAGGCAAGATGCTTAAAAAATGTGAAAAATCCTTCTGGTTTCTGTTCTTTCCTAGCTATAAGATTTCCCAGACTATTAATTACAAAGGTATGGGAGTGATGAACACAGAGTGACAATAATTAAAATAAGAAATGCTGTTATCAAAAATTCTTCTTCTCATGTTGAAACACTGCACGTGGAACAGAAACTCCCCACCAGAATGGATGCCAAAGCTGCAATGTTCATCAATAATTTAATTTTTATTCACACAAACTGCAGAATCAAAAATGACAGTCTTCAATTTTTTAATACGATTAATTTCAGATAAATTCCTTATAATCTGCACGGCACCAGCATAAAATTAAGATTACTTTGTACACTAGAAGTTAATGGTACATTCATCAAGAGCTTTTTATTCATTTTTAGTACTTTTATATTTTACAAAGAAAATGACTGATTATAATTACAAATGTCTATGGAAAATATGTAGTTAGAAGGAGAGGTCTATCCATGATTTTTGCTCGGTGTAAAATTTTTAATGTGTAGTGAAACTGTAAAACGAAAAGAAATTTCGGACTCTTACACACAAAACAGATAAGTGCCATATCTCGCTAACGAAACGACTTTCTTTTATAGCTATCTAGAGGGAAAATAACAAGCACTTTCAGACTTTTCAGTGCTCAATCCTCATTGGAGAACTGAAACACAATGTTTTTAGACAGGTGTTTCAGATTTTCACACACAAAGCTAACACGTGCCATATCTCACTTATGAAACCACTTCGGTTTTAATTTATATGGATCTAGAGGAAAAAAACAAGCACTTTCAGACACAAAGAACCACTTTTTGGGGAGCAAATAATGTTATTTGCAAAGTTACATAAAAATGGTGAGAAATTCTTAAATAAGAGAAAGTTGGGAGAAATATGACGCAAATTGAGTTTGCAAGTGTATAGTCGGAAACTAGGTGTCTCCCGCCTAAATCAAAAGTTGGCAAACTCTGACTAAATCAATCAATAAATGCAAAAATTTACAATTTCTATAAAAATATCACCATGGTCTTACAATAATACTATATACAGTACAAAGTCCGAAAACCGGACTCGTCGGGACTTCGGCGATTCCGGATTTGGGATTTTCCCGGGTATTAGATCATGTTTAAATCTAGTAAGAGGGCAAGTAGAAATTATAAAATTAAAAATACGAAATCGTGATTTATGAAATAATGAAGTATTTGTGA